TAGGATGCAGGGGTGGCAAGCTGCTTGCCCACACACCATGTTCCTTTGCAGCTGCTTCTCTGACTCTGTGGATGCTAGTGGCCTGCCGCCCTTGTCCTTCTGCATGCAGGCATCACCCCACGGCAAGACTGTCAGTGAGAGTGAGTTGAGCACCAGTGCCACAGAGCTGCTACAGGATTACATGCAGACGGTAGGCCATACCTGTAAGGGAGTGCCTGAGAGGGGCCAGGCTTTCTTCCCTCGTAGAGCATAGGCATGTGAGTGGGCACCTTGTGTACACTTGCCTCATCATTTTTGCTGACATTGCTGCCTTTTCCCAGGGACACTATGGGACCCTGTGTTGGTGGGTCTGAGCCATAAGGACTGGACTATGCTGGTACCAAGTCCTGAGAGGAAATAGTGGCTCCTACAGGGCTTGGAGCTAGATGCCTTCCCTCTACATCTCTCATAGTTTTGTCACTAAAAACTCAAGACTTCCTCATTGCATGCATTTGTGCCCTGAGGGCATCAGCCCTGATCCTGACAGGTGCCAGCTTCCTGTCCTACCCTGTTGATTTTTTAAAAAAACATTTATTTTCCAATACCTTTATTTTATTTATTTTTATGTAATGCTAAGGATCGAACCCATGGCCTCACACGTGCTAGCTGAGCGCTCTACTGCTGAGCCAGAACCCCAGCCCTTCCCTGTTGATTTGTTTCATTGATACTGTATGAAGAACTGGCACTGCCCTCCCTCCTTGCCCCACTGAGGGTACTCAGGTTCAGGAAAGTGGAGCTGCCAGGGCACCTCATTTTCCTCTGGAGGCTACCATGCCTGGGATGATGGGATAGGGATTCACTGTGGGCATTCTGACCCCACAGGGGTGAAGATGTGAACCTAGACGTGACTGGTCCTCAGCATGGGCCTGGCCCCCAGGTTCCCAGCCCTGTCTGCTGCAGGTGATCCACCCAAGTCCATGGCTGTGACAGGGTGAGGGCTCAGCTGCCATGCCCTCCTACCCACCCATATCTGTTCTCACACCTGTTCTTCTGTGTTCCTACAGCTGCGCACTAAGCTGTCGTCGCAGGAGATCCAGCAGTTTGCTGCGCTGCTACATGAGTACCGCAATGGAGCCTCCATTCATGAGTTTTGTATTAGCCTACGGCAGCTCTATGGAGACAGTCGCAAGTTCCTGCTGCTTGGTGAGTGGGGAGCCCCAGAGGGCGCCCGGTTCCCTCTGGAAATGTATACCTATACCTTGAAGTAAAGGTGCAGTTTCCATTAACAATGACGGTTGGCAAAATAGCACCCTTAGGTCTCAGGATCTGCCACAATTAGTTGGAAGATCTCTTTCTAGAGCTTTCTGGGGGCCCACCAACAGCTCTCCATCTCCTGAGAACCCTGAGCTGAGCTGAGCTGAGTGGGCCCTGCCAGGAAGCAGGAGAGGTTGCCCTGGGACTGGGACTAGTACTGAATGGAACTCTACAGTTCAAGAGAAGAGTCAGGGTTGTTCTTCAAGGAGGTGACACTTGAGTAATTGATGGGTGTGTGGGAGTTTGCCAAGTAAAGAGGTGAAGATGCCATCCCAGGTGAAGATCACCCTTTTACAAGACTCTGAAAAGTTCAGCATGTTAGATCTGAGTGACTGGCAGGCTTGGTAGTCAGGCCTACCTTGGATACCTGAGGCGCAGACCTTGAGGGATCAATGATTCAGCTGTGGTTTTCGCTCTGCCAACACTCTGAACACAGTCAGTGGTTGCTTGTTAAGGGCTACTAAGTCCTGGACCTGTGCTCCCAGTAAACTAAGGAGGTAGATTTATTTCCCTTTATACCAGCCTGGCCGACATCCCCCCAGGGCTCCCTGCTTATGGGAGACTGGGCCCGCTGGAATCTAGTCTGAGCTCCTGCTTCCTGCTGAGGCCTCCCTGGGTTCCCCAGCAGGGCTCAGATGGGCCCATGTGTAACTCAGGATGTTCCTTTAGAGGCTGCCCTTAGGTAGGCACCTCTTTTCAAATGGATTAGAGAGGAGCTGAGCCATGGTGGCATGCTGCTTGGAGCCCACTGGGAGGGCAATTTCCCATCCTCCAGGCCTCCCCTCTGACACCTCACTTGCCTTCTTTGGGAAGCCTTAATTATAGGGCCTTCACAGCACAGTAGTTAGAGCTCTAGGAGCTCCAGCTCTGGAAGGTGGGGGTGGCAGCTGTCTGTATGACAAGCTGGTGCAGCAGCACCTTACCCCTGTGTGCATGGGACTCTTGTCCTCTCTGGATGGGCCCAGCCTACTCACAACAGAGGAGTTCAGGGGATTCTTGATTAGGAAGACAGACTGCTGAGTTGGGGCAGTCACCTTGGGCTGGGCCTTTGGCTTTAACATCATGGTTTTGGCCTCTGTTGCCAGTGCCAGCAGAGCAGAAGACTGACTACTCTGGGTTTCATTTTCTTACTTGTGAAATGAGGGCTCTGAGAACCCATAGAGAATGAGAGGAGGTCGTGGGCCCCTGGCCTGTGCTGTTCCTCAAGGCCAGGGAGGGCAGATGTGACAGATGGCAAGTTTCTACAGCTGGGGTGCCTTTCAGAAGTGGGATTTTAGCCAAACCATCTGGATCCAGGGAACAGTTTGTGTGGTATCAGGGTCCTCAGGCCATGGACGAGGGGCAGCTGTGTTCCTGTTTGGACCCTGAGCCTTACTGTGGGTGTGGTGTTGGGGTTATGTGTTGGCAGGTCTGAGGCCCTTCATCCCAGAGAAGGACAGCCAGCACTTCGAGAACTTCCTAGAGACCATTGGTGTGAAAGACGGCCGTGGCATCATCACTGACAGCTTTGGCAGGCACCGGCGGGCCCTGAGCACCACATCCACCTCTACCACCAATGGGAACAGGGCCACAGGCAGTCCCGATGACCGGTCAGCACCCTCAGAGGGGGATGAATGGGACCGCATGATCTCAGACATCAGTAGTGACATCGAGGCGTTGGGCTGCAGCATGGACCAGGATTCAGTGTGATGGGCAGTGGAGCACCCATCCCTACCATCCCAGGCCGCCCCAGGAGTTGACCTGAGTATTAGCCCTTCCTGCTGGCTAGGAGCTGGAGAGCGGCTGCAGGCACAGGTGGCCCTGGGCGGCCAGGTCCTCTACTGTGAAAGAGCACAGAGCTGCCGCAGGACGTGCCCTGATCCAGGGCGGAAGGCTCTGTGCCTCATCCTCTGGGGCTCAGCCATACCCTGCACCTCCTGCTCTGGGAGGGCCAGGCCAAGCTGGCAAGGAGAGCCAGTCCTGATAGCCTGGCCCTGGACAGCTGTCAATTTTGCACATGATGTTCCTGTTGTTAACTCTCAGACCTTAAAAAATGTTTACTGCAATGTGAATAATTTAATCTCTGGTTACCAAACATGTTTCTGATCCAGTTGGGTGAAAACCATGTTGCTAGGAGGGGGGTCCATTCTGGCCTCTGTCCCTTTGCCCATGTCTTCCCATAATACCCAGAGATGGGCACAGTAGTGTCAGGGCTGAGGCAGTGGAGGCAGCAGGCACTTGTGATTTGGGTTTTGTGTTGTGGGTGTGAGGCCAGAAGATCTACTGGGTTCTCTTATGGGTGTCAGGGGCAGTGACCATGGGCAGCAGAAGCAATGTGCATTGTATGATCAGCAAAGGTGCTTTGATCTTTTCATCACTTGCATAGATTCCTCAAGGAACTGACTTCTCTGGCTGCTTGCCCTGGCACCTTGCTGAACAGAAGTGCTATCTGGGAGTGCTGGGAGCTTCAGATAAGCTATCATGGGCCCTTTATCCACGTACCCTCTCCATGTTCATCATGTCCATCCCCAGTGTGATCTTCTCCCAGTTTGTATTGGCATTAGTCTGACCTCTGCCCTTTACGTCACTTCAAACCTTCCTTAGAATCCAGGGAGGGGAGAGAGGTGACGTGAAGTCAGGTTGTTCTGGGTCTCTCCCTCCATCAAAGCCTCGATTCTGCTGAGAACCCTCAGGACACATCCAGAAAGTTCCTAGGATAAGGAGATGTGATATTCCCCCACTGCCCACTGTAGGGAGTGGTGTGCCCTGCTGGGCAGAAGGGTTGCATACCAGGCCTCTGAGGTATCCATAAATGGAGCTCCATGGATATCACACTTGTGTCCAGGCCTAGCCAGAGGGTCTGGAGGGTCTTATAGGTGCCTTCCGGAGTAAGGCAGACAGGTCCATGTGGTATTGTCTCTTCAGGAGAGAACAACCCTGGATAGTGTTTTATAGGGAGAATTTTCCCTCTACCATGGCTGTTCCAGAGCTGGTCATGGGACCACAGTCCAGGCTGGGAAAACCAGAGGGTATTGGAGCTGTCTCTAGCTTTGAATACAAATAATCCTGCTCTGGAATAATGAGGGGAGGCTGAAAACGCAGACTTTGTCCTCTAGCTCCTATCTGCCTTCCACAGCCCACCCTGTGCCCCAGTGAGTCTCAGTGTCCCCCATGTACACATAGAGAATGGCCTTGCAGAATCTTTGATGTGGAGTCACAAGAACCACATGCTTGCCTCTCCAGGGCACACATTCCAGAAATGGCCAACACTGGCTGAGTCACTGATCTCTTAGCAGAGAGTGGAGAATGTGGAGCAGATGGCCACTCTTACCCCTAGCTGGATCTGAGGGGATGCCAAAGGACAGTGAGGGGATATGAGAGTGATGAAAGGATGCTGAGGGACATTTAGGTGATGCCAGAGAGCATTGGGGGTTACCAGAGGGTATTGATGGAATGCCAGAGGGTATTGAGACTACACTAGAGAACACTGAGGAAGTCCCAGAGGGCGGTTAGGTGATGCCAGGGTTTGAGAGGATTTCAGAGGGCAGTTGGGGCACTGAGGGGATTCCATAATGATAGGACACCAGAGGGTCTTCTGAGGACACTAGAGGACAGTGAGGTGGCATGGTGATCAGGTGACATCAAAGGATGATGAGATGGCAGGGTAATGTGGGGACTTTAGAGGATATTGAGAAGTTGCCAGAGGGTATTGAGGGGACACCAGAGGGTGATGATGGGACACCAATTTATTGGACAGCAGAGCTGGGGGATGGAGCAGGATGTACCCAGCTTCTGGCCAGCAGCTACATTGTCAGTTCCTGTGGAAAAATGTGGAAGGAGAGGGTCATGATGTAGAGCCAAATCAGGACCTCATCCGAGGCCTCCAGGGACAGCTGGGAGGTGGGGGTGGGGCCAATGCTTACTCACCATGATGGCATTGACGATGTCACTGTGGTTGTCCCTTAGGGCCCGCACAGCCTTGGCCCTGGACACATTGGCCTGGGCCATCACCAGCTCAATGTCACGCAGCTCTAAGCCTGCCTCGTCCACCTGGTGGGGTGAAGTAGGGAGATGATAAGCCGCTTGAGGCCTCTGGGCGAGGGTTCTCCTGACACAGGCCTTAGGCAGAAGCCCTCCACACGGAGTCTTGGAGCGCCTTAGCCTCACCTCCTCCTCGTCCTCCTCCTCTTCCTCTTCCTCACACTCTGGCCTCACCCGGGATCCAGGTGCCGACTCAGGGACCAGGGCTGAGGACTCCGAGGGCACCTTGAATTTCTCTGCTGCAGCTTTGTGCACTTGCTGGGATAGGTCCTCAATCTGTAGCATGGGACAGCTATGTCAGTAGGGCCTACACACTCCCTGTCCATCTGCCTCATCCCTGTTTCCCTGGTCATCACCACTGCCACAGCCACAGCTAGGACAAACCTTGGCCTCGCCAAAGACCACATAGGTGTCTGAGGCGGGGCTCTTGAAGACATCAGGCTTGGCGATGACAAAGAGGATGTTCTTGGACTTCTGGATAGTGATCCTGGTGACTCCCTGAATCTGCCGCAAGCCCAGTTTCGACATTGCCTGAGGCAAAGGGTAGACATAGTTCAGACCTGCTGTAGGCCCAACCAGAAAAGGCAGGTAGCACAGTGCCTGGCAGGCAAACACCTCACCCCAACTTCCCCATGACCCTGAGTGACCAGTCCTTCCCTGTGTGTACTAGCCTTTGGAGGAGGCTGACCTTCATCCATATGACCACCATGCCATTCCAGCCCAAACTGTTTAGGGGAAGGTGCATGGGTTATTAGATTTGACCCACAGGTCTTCCCTATGGATACTATTTCATTAGTTATGGGGTATGACCCATCTTGGTAAAGATGTCCCCCTGTGCAGATGGTGCTAGTACTGAGGTCAGAAGGGGAGCTCCCAGCCTACTTTTCGAGCCTTCTTTTCACTGCGACTCTGCTTGGCTTTGGCGATGGTCTCCTCACTGCTGCCTGTTGGGGCCTGTGGAAAGGTGAGGGCTGAGCACCCGTGGGTGGGAGTGTAGGGCCCACCTAAGGGCCAACCTCTCCCCCAGACTGGGCACCTGGGATGGGCACTGCACCATCTGAGGCGCTGAGATGTCCTGCTCGTCCAACTCCACTGACGACTCCCCGTGACTATCCGAGTGCTGGCCTGAGCCCAGGGCCCGAGGTGAGTCTGGGGAAGGGAAGAGAGGTGTGAGAATGTCTCCCCATGATGGGCCCCTGGCTCTACTTCATCATGAATTGGAGCTGAGAGTCTTGACACATCACACCACTGCAGAGATCCTCTAGCCTAGGACGGCAGTGCTTACCCTGGAGAGGACTAGCTGCCCAAGCCTGGGGCCCCCACCTCTACATTCCCCCTTACCTTCTTCCAGGCTGTCCTCGTCCTCTTGCTGTTCTAGGGCTGGGAGCCCTTGAGGGCTCGATAGGCTCTGGGTCCCAGAGGGAGGAGGCACTTGGCTGGGTGGCGAGATCTGAGAGGCCAGGTCTTTGGCATCCGTGGGGGCCGCCTTGGGGATGAGGAGTGGGTGGTGGCGGGAGAGGCTGATCTGCTGCCCTGTCCCCAGAGGCTGGGTGTTTCCTGAGGCAGCAGCAGCAGCAGTGGCCCCCTGGGCTACTGCCCGAGACACGTGAAGGCCCCGAGAGGCTGGTGGCTCCTCACTCTCCACAGAGTCTTCCTGTGGGTTCTGGCACAAGCGAGAGTTAGGGGGTCCCAGGGCCAGTGGGGCTTCCTCAGCAAGAACACCAGGATCAGAGGGGTCAGGGTCTGATAGCCTGTTTTGAGGTGTACGAGGCCGGCCCCTGGCAGGGTTTTCTGGGAGTTGTAGTGGGGAGGATTTGAGCATACCAGGTGTTCTCTGAGGCTGCTTTCCATTGCCCAGGCCTAGCGAAGGCTCCAACCACTGGGAAGGTGATACAGAAGGGGTAAGCTCTTTAGGGAAGTCCCTGTCCAGGCTGGATGCAGCCTTTGCTGGGAACTTTGGGCCTGAACTTAGCCTGGCCTCTTTGGCCCCAGCTAAGGGAAGTCTGGGTTCCAGGGTGGCCTTGCTGCTCAGACCCCTTCCTTTCTTGGCTGGGCTCAGGATCTGTGCCTGTGTGACCTCAGGGCAGGCAGTAGGACATGCCTTGGGAGCCTCTCTCACACCTTGGGGCACTGATGCAGGCCCACCTTCCTGTGCTGGTGGCTTGGGGCCTACACTCCTCTTGTTCTTAGCCCCCAGGGCCTCCTTTGGAGGCGAATGGGTCTTGGCCCCATCACCCACGTACACACAGGCTTCAAGACATATTTCCCCCTCAGGTGCTGAAAGGTCCACAGCTACTTCTTTTCCAGTGCCAGAGGCAGGTTCAGGGGGACCAGGAGCCTCCATGCCTAAGGTGGGACCTGCCTCTTCCCTTGGGGCCCAAGGAGTTCCAGTCTTTGCAGTTGGTTCTGGGCCATCCTTTTGGGTCTGGTTCAAGGCTGAAGGCTCTGGGTCTCCATCAGGGCCTGCATCATGCTCCCCAGGCTCTGGCCTTAGTTCTAAGGCCAGACCTAATTCCTGCTGGGTCACAGAAGCCATTAGCTTATTCCCTGGGGCCCCATGGGTGTCTCCAGCCATGGGCTCCGAGGCTAAGGTGAGTCCTGCATCTTGCAAGGGTGGAAGTGTTCTCTCAGGGGAGCTCTGTGGTATGGTGACACTCTCTTCAGCCTGTTGGGGCTCTGGTTTGGCCCCAGCCATAAGCTCCAGACCTGAGGTGGGATCTGCATCTTGCCCAGGTGGAAGTTCTGTCTCAGGGGAGTCCTGGGGTATGGTGACATTCTCTTCAGCTTGCTGAGGCCCTGGTGTGGCTGCAGCCTCAAGCTCTAGGCTTGAGGTGGGACCTGCATCTTGCAGGGGTGGAAATTTTGTCTCAGGGGAGTCCTGGGGTATGGTGACACTCTCTTCAGCCTGCTGGGGCCCTGGTGTGGCTGTAGCCACAGGCTCTAGGCCTGAGGTGGGACCTGCATCTTGCAGGGGTGGAAGTTCTGTCTCAGAAGAGTCCTGGGATATGGTAACACACTCTTCAGCCTGCTGGGGCCCTGGTGTGGCTGTAGCCACAAGCTCTAGGCCTGAGGTGGGATCTGCATCTTGCAGGGGTGGAAGTTCTGTCTCAGAAGAGTCCTGGGATATGGTAACACTCTCTTCAGCCTGCTGGGGCCCTGGTGTGGCTTCAGCCAGAGGTTCTAAGCCTGAGGTGGGATCTGCATCTTGCAGGGGTGGAAGTTCTGTCTCAG